GCGGGGCAGAACCTTGGATTTGTTCAGGCTGTTGTTCAATTGATGTTATGAACATTCGAAAATGTTACATCCTTTTTGTGTTTACTTACTTGAAGATGACATATGTTACTCCTTCTACGTGTTTACAAAAATTTTGAAATGAACCTTTGTTACTCCTTTTACTGGTTATCAACATTTGAATGTTACTCCTTTCATACTTTTCGTGAAAGATATTTACACCAATTTTTGAAAAGTTATCACTTTTGTGTAAGAATTGTTGCAAAGATTTATATTTTTTTCTTTCGAACTTACACCTTTTGTTGAAAACCAACTTAAAGCTAATTCGAAGTCACTTATACTTTTGTGAAAAAAATTCATGAATTTCCACCTTTTTGCTTAGCTTACACCCTTTTCCTGAAAATACATACACCATTATTGAAAAAGTTACTCCTTTTGTGTAAGAATTTTTGGCATAACATTTTATACTTGCGCTTATAACTCTTTCACAAAGGTGTAAGTTTGAAGAAATAGTATTAAATCTTATTGCAAAACATTATTTACAAAAGGAGTAACTTTTCAAAAAAAAATATAAACACTTCCACGAAAAGGTTATTAAAAAGCGAAGCAAAATGTGTAAATTTGATGAATTTATTTTTTTCATAAAAGGTATAAGGACTTTCCGAAAAGCTTTAAGTGGGCTCATTAAAGTGTAAGTTTCGAAGAAAAATGTTAAATCTTTGCCAAATTCTTTAACACAAAAGGAGTAACTTTTCAAAAAAAATATAAGCCAGTTTACCACGAAAAAAGTATAAGGCTTAAGCAAAAGGTGAAATTGAATGAATTTATTTTTTCACAATAGGATAAGTGCTTCCGAAAAGTTTTAAGTGGGCTTCACAAACGGTTGTAAGTTCAAGAAATGTATAAAAATCTAATGCTAAAAATTCTTACACAAAAAGGATTAAACTTTTCAAAATAAATATAAGCATTCCGAAAAGCTTTAGTTGGGCTTCCCAAAAGCTTGTAGTTTCTAAGCAAAGGTATAAATCTTATGGCCAAAATTCTTACACCAAAAGAGTAACTTTTCAAAAAAAATATAAGCACTTCCACGAAAAGGTATAAGCTTATGCAAAAGGTGTAAATTTGATGAATTTATTTTTCCACAAAAGGTATAACTCACTTCCGAAAAACCTATAAGTTGCCTTTTCACAAAAGGTGTAAGTTCGAAGAAAAGGTATAAATGTTATGCCAAAAATTCTTACACAAAATGAGTAACTTTTAAAAAATAGTGTAAGTATTTTCAGTAAAAAGTGTAAGCTTAAGCAAAAGGTGCAAAATTCATGAATTTTTTTTTTTTCACAAAAGGTATAAGTGACTTCCGAAATAGGTTTAAGTTGGGCTTTCACAAAAGGTGTTAGTTTGAAGAAAAAGTCCAAAGTATAAATCTTATGCCAACAATTCTTACACAAAAGGAGTAACTTTTCAAAAATGGTGTAAGCACTTCCACGAAAAGGTGTAAGCTTAAGGAAAATGTGTAAATTTGATGAATTTTTTTTCACAAAAGGTATTAGTGACTTTCGAAGATGCTTTAAGTTGGGCTTTCACAAAAGGTGTAAGTTGGAAGAAAAAGTATAAATGTTATGCCAAAAATTGTTACACAAAAGGAGTAACTTTTAAAAAAAATATAAGCACTTCCACGAAAAGGTATAAGCTTAAGCAAAAAGTGTAAATTTGATGAATTTATTTTTTCACAAAAGGTATAAGTGACTTCCAAAAAAGCTTTAAGTTGGACTTTCACAAAAGGTGTAAGTTCGGAGAAAACGTATAAATCTTATTCCACAAAGAGATGTAAGTAACTTCGCAAAACGTCTACGTTCCGTTTTTTTTGTAAGTTCCTAAAATCCAATCACACTGTATTTGTCTTGTTCAAATAATGGCAATGTGAGAGAGAAGGGCGTTTCGGAGGGCTTGGCCTTTCTCCTAGTAGAACTCCGTTTCAGAGAAGACGAGTCTGGGAGGGCTTGGAATAGCGACTCCAAGCCCAAATCCAACCAAGTATGTCAATGTAAAAGAGAACCGTTTTTAATATAGAGCAACGGATAGACAGAGAGAGAGAGACTGAGATAGACTGAGATCAACAGACATAGAGACCTAGATGGACACTGATCGACAAAGGGACCGAAATCGACAGAGATCGACAGAGAAGAGACCCACATGGACACAGACAGACCAAGATCGCTGGAGACAGACCGAGATAAACAGAGATCGACAGAGAGAGACCAACATCGACACAGAGAGACCAAGATCGATAGCCAATCTTTCAAAAAACTTTTGATTTGCGATGGCGGTGCAAGTGGAGGTGCCGATCTCAGAAGGCTGTGAGCACCGGAGCCCACCGACGCTTGGGTGGTCAGCGGGGGTCACGACCCTTTGATTTGTTCCGTGGTTGTCTCAATTGGTTTATGAACACTTCGAAATGTTACTCCTTTTGTGTTTATTACTACTTTGAGATGAACATATGTTACTCCTTCTGTGTTTACGAACATTTTGAAATGAACCCTTTGTTACTCCTTTTCTGGTTATCAATACTTTGAAATGTTACTCCTTCATACTTTTCGTGAAAATATTTACACCATTTTTGAAAAGTTACTCCTTTTGTGTAAGAATTGTTGGCATAAGATTTATACTTTTTCTTCGAACTTACACCTTTTGTGAAAACCCAACTTAAAGCTATTTCGGAAGTCACTTATACCTTTTGTGAAAAAAAAAAAATTCATGAATTTTGCACCTTTTGCTTAAGCTTACACCTTTTCCTGAAAATACTTACACCATTTTTGAAAAGTTACTCCTTTTCTGTAAGAATTTTTGGCATAACATTTATACTTTTGTGCTTATATACTCTTTCACAAAAGGTGTAAGTTTGAAGAAAAAGTATAAATCTTATGATAAAAATTATTTCACAAAAGGAGTAACTTTTCAAAAAAAATATAAGCACTTCCACGAAAAGGTATAAGCTGAAGCAAAAGGTGTAAATTTGATGAATTTATTTTTTCACAAAAGGTATAAGTGACTTCCGAAAAAGCTTTAAGTTGGGCTTCCACAAAAGGTGTAAGTTCGAAGAGAAGCTATAATGTTATGCCAACAATTCTTACACAAAAGGAGTAACTTTTCAAAAAATGGTGTAAGTATTTTCACAAAAAGGTGTAAGCTTAAGCAAAATGTATAATTTTTCGTTTGTTTACACCTTTGGTAAGTCAACTCACAAAAGGAGTAAGTGTTCATAAAAGGTGTAAATGATTCCACAGAAGGCGTAAGTTTTCAGAAAAAGGTGTAACTTTTCAGAAATCAGTTACGCCTTTTTTCTGAAATTCCACGCCTTTCGTGAAAATATACCCCTTTTGTGAAAACTTATACATTTTTTGTGACCATTTACACCTTTAGTCATATAATATATTATTTTATTAATTTACCTGGAAAGTGACTTGCTTAGCAGGTCACCAATGTGTAAGTTTTCAAATATTTTGATATAACCCAATACATACAAATGTGTAAATGCAAAATAAAATGGTGTAAGTACCTTGCATACCATATGCAAGGCACACTTGAGAAAAGTCATTTTGCTGTATTGTAGTATAAATCACTACACTAGAGTATGAAGCGTTTTACTTCTTTGCTCGTCTTTGGGGCGTGTGTGAGTAAATAAACCAATACATATATAGCAATGTTCTGTCTAAATTATACAAATTTGGATTTTTAATCCAACATTATTGTTTTTAATTTGTATAAGAAATAGCAATGAGAATATTAGTGAAAAATATAGATATCGATTGGTAGAGTTTTCTAAATATGATTTGATAATAGAGTTATGTTTTGAGTTCGTGAGTTTTGAAATTATGATTTGAATGTGAAAATTTTGTTTGGTTATGAGTTTTGAAAAGAATTTTGAATTGAGTTTGAAATAAATGATATGACATGATATTCAATTCAAAAATTTACAATTCATAACGAAACACAATCTCAAATCCTATTCAAAGCTCATAAAAAAAATTTTAAAAATCCTAAAAGTTTTTTTTATTTAAAATATGAGTATAACAAGTGCCAAAAAATATATATAAATAAAATCAAACACGGTTCCGGTCAACCGGCCGGACGTTCAAGGTGTGTTCAGAAAGACGATCAGGTTAGCTAAATTTTCTTGGCTAAAAAGGAGTTTTCAAAAGCAGATGTGAAATTATAATTTGAAAATCCAAAACAAATGTCACACTCAAAAGTGAGGGTGAAAATATGTGTTTGCCATATATGTACATATATATGCTCTCAATGTATAGACAATCAATCTACATCAGCTCTTCAATGCCCGACATTTTACACGACTCACCATCAATAGCTCCAGCCTTCAAGAAAACTGCGAGTCTTCAACAATGCCACAAAGAAAGAGAAGCCAAAAAAGAAGAAAAAAATCATCATGAATATTGTCACTTTTTCTTCTTGGAAAATGCTTGGGGGTTACGAAGTTCTTGTTTGTAAGTCGTGAGGCAACTTTCAATTTCCAATGATAGAATAAAGATCCCTACACTCACAGTGAGTCCTTGCTCCTGCCATATGTAGCATTAAACAATGTTTGATGTTTTGGATACAACGGAACTCGTAAATAGGCTTCGTGGAGCAGTGTGGCGTGATTTTCAACTTGCATTTGAGATTATACTGCATAAAAGCATTATTTTACAAAGAAACAATTGGGAATGGATGTTTGGGAAGTAGATTTTTATGTAAGTTTTTTTAGTTGTAAAATTTAGTGGAGAAAAAAAATTTGATGTTTGGAAAGATAGTTGAATTTTTTTGTGGTTGAATGTCATGCTTGTGAAAGAAAAAATAAAATGATTATGGAGTTAGATGTGATATTTTGTTTAGATTTGTTTTTTTTGATTTTACAAAAAGTTTGTCTTTTAGTGGAAAAAATCAAAAAAAACCCAACCCACAAACTTCCCAAACACCACCTTACGTTTGTTTTAAAAAATTTCTACTTCACTGAAACACTGCATTTATTGGATTGGAAAAAGACCAGCCACAAAAGTATAATTTTACAAAGGAACAATTGGGAAGTTAACTACGTAAAAAGCCAAGAGCCAAAAAAAAAATCACAATCTGTGCAAGCTGCCAACTCGAGCATGTAGATTACATGTTATCCTGCTCTAGATTTGTAGTCTCTCTCCTTCGAAGAAAGCGTGACAAACATGCACTGATCATCTGTGAGCTCTCTGCAAGCATGTAGAGGCAAAAAAAGCACAATCCTGTTTCAGCAAGAACAGACAATGGCAAGTTACATGTGTGCAATTTTTAGAAATAAAAAATAAATGGCAAAGAAAGAGAGATAGGGAAAACAAGATATGCAAAACATGGTAGATTTATTAATTTATGATTCAAACTCACCAGGGAACAACTGCTAATTAAAAATTCAAAATATGTGATCATGAAAATCTACTAAAAGAGATTTTTAACAGAAAGGAATCTAATATATTAAACAAAAGAAAAGTTTTAAAGCAAAACTTAAAGAGGGAGGCCACTTCCTATCCTTATTCAGAACAGATTGCAAACAAGGAGGGGCTTGAAGGTATATATGATCATTGTACAAGGAAGAAGCAGCAAGTTTACCCAAGACAAAAGCAGCTATATCAAAGATTTGTTTCTTCAAGACATTATTTCCCCACCACTAAAATATAAAATAAAATAAAATTCTGAATGACTTTGATGTTAAAATTCACTTTACAGTTGAATAAATTCTTTCGTATACTTCATATTTATAGGAAGCCTATGAAGATGTGCACAGAGTGCTTGCCAACTGACCCCACCAAGTTGTTGAGGCGCACCACCCACTCCTTCCCAAGTGGCACACAAAGACAGAGATGATATGTATAAAGAAAACTATAGAATAACATAAATCCTCTTTTCAAAAAAGTAGACAGCATATCAATCTTCGACTCTCTCAGTCCTCATCAAAATGGTGAAAAACAAATTAATATCCATCCACCACATGATATGTTGAAATTATCCAAACGCAAGATTCTATTGGTGGAGCATTAGACAAAGCATTGATGCTGTAACTGAAACTCAAGGAAATAAAGGAGAAGATGTAAATTGTCCACATACCAACATAAGCCATGGTAACACCTGAGACCAATCTTCCCAAAACAGATAGAAAGTAGAGGCTGACAACCACCTGTAGAGAAGAACAAACATAAGATCAAGTCTTCTAGTTAAGTTTGATGTTTTATATTCTCTTCTTACTGCAAGGGTTGCAAAAATATTACATGATAGGTCAATAAAAAAATAATTTGATAGCAGAGCCATCTCAGCCTCTCCCATTCAGAACTATTTACTGTCATTTCTTACTTAGTCCGTTCAAGGGCCCACAAATTTGGCAAGTGACTGCACAGACTTTTAACATCAGTTTCTTGCTTCACTTAAAAGTCAATTGTTAGCTTGAAATTCATTGTTGGGTCCATTTCCTAGCAACATGAGCTTAGAACTAGTGATGATCCAACACAGTATCATAGCTCTGGTTCTAGGAGATCCTGGCTTCAAGTCTAGTCACCCTTATTATCTATATCATTGTGCACTTTTGTTCTCTAGTTGTCTTTGTGCATCTTGTTCACTCAGTCTGTTTGCTTCTCCACGTGTGAGACAAGATCACACGTGAGGAGGAGTGTTAGCTTAATACCCTCATTTTGCACACACCCAAGGAGAGTTCAAAATGAGATGAAAGGCAAGAAAAGTAGCCAACCTACCTATTTGTTGCAAATGGGAATGAATAAAAAAGAGGCCTACCAAAAATACAAAGTAGATTGGGTGCAAAGTACTTGGTTCCCAAACTTTTCCAAAGCTGATAGAATTCTCATCAACTTTGTCATTTGGTTTGATAATTTTTCAAGCTACATAAAATTGACCAGCAGCCTAGCACACCTTACTGAGTTTAGCACATATGAGGACTTCCAAAATGTCCTAAATTTCAAAGTTCAATTTCTTCTACGTTAGGCCGAGTTTCATAGGGATATAAAACAAGAGGCTTATGGCGGAGGAAAGGATCTGGTGGAGATAAAGATGCACTCCGGCATATAAGAATGAAATTCAAGGTTAACCCATTATCTCCATTCTTCTCTCATTATTGGATATACTTCCATAATCTGATAAAGTTGTATTTTATATTTGTTACATTCTGTTATGATCTTGGTAGTGGCTATCACCTTTCTGTACTTATCTATAGTCATGTAAATTGATGCTATATATATGTGAATAAACATAAGCTCTGTGTGGTCAATTTTAGTAAATAACATTTGATTAATTACATTTCTGATATGGTATCAGAGCTTACCATGGCCACTGCTGTTTCTAACCCCACCTCATCCTCTGCTTCATGTTCCTCACCCTCTCTTATGCCCTTATCCAGTGCCCATCATTTTCTGTCCCTAAAGCTCACCTCCACCAATTACTTGTACTGGAAAACACAGCTCACTCCATTTTTGCATGGTCACGAGCTTCTTGGGTATGTTGATGGCACTTTTCCTTGTCCTCCATGCACCATATCTACTGATGGATCCTCCTCTCCTCAACCAAATCCTGCTCATCATTCCTGGGTTCGTCAAGATCGAATGTTAATGAGTCTTCTTATTGCCTCGTTATCAGAAGAAACTCTCCCTCTGGTTGTGGGTTTGTCTTCCTCTCATGCTGTGTGATCCACCCTCGAAGCTTCGTTAGCTTCGCCCTCTAATACCCGTATCCTCTCCCTCCATATGACTCTCCAACAGCTGCGCCAAGAGGATGCGTCGGTTTCCTCTTATCTTCATCGTGCAAAGGCTATTTCTGATGAACTTACTGCTGCGGGCTGTCCTGTTGCCCTTGCAGATTTTAACATCTACGTACTCAAAGGATTAAGCCCTGAATTCAAAGATCTTGTTACCACTATTGCTGCTCGACCAGACCCAGTTCCCTTTGCTGAACTTCATAGTCTTCTTCTTAGCCATGAGTTCATTAACAACAATTCCCTCATTCAGGCGGTGACTGCTCCTCCTCAACCTGCTGCTGCCACTGTTCCTGCTGCTCACCTTGTTCAACATGGTTCTTCCTCTCATTCTCGCACCCGTGGCAGCTGCGGTTCTCTTTATGATCGCCGTGGCTGTGGTGGCCTCAATCGTGGCGGTCGCAATCCTGGTGACAATCGTCCCTTCTCTTATGACAACCATTCTTTCCATGGTGATCATCGCCCTCGCTGTCAAATTTGCAATGGCGCTAATCATGTAGCTACTACTTGCTACCATCGTTTCAACCATGCCCAACCTCCTTTGGCACACATGGACTCCTTTTCACCCCATGCTCTCCCTCACTCTTATGATTGGTTTCTGGATACGGGCGCCATTCTCATCATGTCACTCCTGATCTCTCTCAACTCGGCCCTCATGAAAAGTATCGTGGCTCTGACACTCTTCGTGTCGGTAATGGTAAGGGCTTGTGTATCTCTAATATTGGTACTTCCACTCTTAGTTTTCCATCTTCTTCTTTTCATTTATCTAATGTTTTCCATGTTCCCACTCTTTCTAAATCTCTTCTCTCTGTTCATCAATTTTGCAAAGATAATTCTATCTTTTTCGAATTTCACTCTTCTTCTTTTTTTGTCAAGGACCGGGTCACCAAGAAAATTCTTCGGTGCGGACAGAATAAAGATGGTCTTTACCACTTTCAGCCTTCATCCACCATTCTTCCCAGACCATCCATTTTCAATGTTGAACGTGTTTCTCTTGAATGTTGGCATCGTCGTCTCGGTCATCCACATCGTCAAGCTCTCCGTCAAGTTCTTCGGGTCAATCAATTGCCATGTTCTAGTTCTTCCTTTCTCTTTCTTTGTACGGCTTGTCAACTTGGCAAGTCTTCTAGGCTTAGTTTAGGCCTTAGTCATTCAATAAGCTCTGCACCTTTAGAGTTGGTGTTTACTGCTGTATGGGGGCCATCTCCCCTTCTTTCCAATGACAGTTTTCGTTATTATGTCATTTTTGTGGATGATTTTTCTAAATTTATTTGGTATTATCCTATGGTACACAAATCTGATGTTTTCACAATTTTTCCAAAATTTCAAGCTATGGTTGAGCATCGCAAAATTCATAAATATTTTGAGCAACTTGGTATTATTCATCGATTGCCGTGTCCACACACCCATGAACAAAATGGTCCAGTTGAACGCCGTCATCGTCACATCGTTGAAACTGGTCTTTCCTTATTAGCTCATAGTTGTGTCCCGTCCAAATATTGAAACTACGTATTTGAGACGGCTGTCTACTTAATTAATCAACTTCCTACCAAGGTGCTCAATGGCCAATCCCCTTTTTTTACCCTCTATCATTCCTCTTCCCATTACACCTTTCTCAAAGTTTTTGGGTGTTTACGTTTTCCTTATCTTCGACCATATAACCAACATAAAATGGATTTCCGCTTTCTTCCTTGTGTTTTTCTTGGGTACAGTCCCTCTCATTTGGGTTATCGTTGTCTCGACCCCAAAACTGGCCGAATTTATATTGCCCGTCATGTTCGATTTGATGAGTTTAGTTTTCCTTTCTCTGGACCCTCTGTTCTAGGTCCTCTGCCATCTCCACCGACTTCTATCTTCTCTCCCTGGGTTTGCACTCCTTCAACTATTTCCTCCCATGTTCCTAGTTTTCAATCTATTCCCGATTTTCATGTACTGCCTCCTCCCTCTATTCGTACATCTCCACCACCTTCTCCTCGTCCTACCTCACATATGTCTCGGCCCTCCCTTCCAATTCCTTCCCCACCTTTGCCTCATCTTCCTCCTTCTTTGTCCAGCCCTTCTCCTAATGTTGCCCAATCCTCGGTGCCTGATTCGAGTGGTCTTAAGCTTCTTGTTGACCTTCATGGGTCCCCCCCTCCATCGTCCCCACCTCGTCGCACTCGTCCCATGGTTCTTCGTAATCACACCAAACAGTCATCTACTCCTCATGCTTTGGTTTCGCTCACTCACCTTCCTTCCCTAATTTCTCTGATATTGAACCGACATGTTTCACTGAAGCCAATAAATTTCCACAGTGGCGGGCTACAATGACTAAGGAAATCAATGCCTTAATTCGCAATGGGACTTGGTCTTTTGTTCCTTGTTCTCCTGCCATGAATCTTGTTGGTTGCAAGTGGGTATATCGAATTAAACGCAAAGTTGACGGTACTCTTGAGCGATACAAAGCTCGCTTAGTTGTCAAGGGATTAACCAACAATATGGTGTGGATTATTTGGAGACTTTCAGTCCTGTTGTCAAACCCACCACCATTCGGATTATTCTTTCCTTGGCTGTCTCTCATGGGTGGTCTATTCGTCAACTTGACGTTAATAATGCTTTTCTCCATGGTGTCCTTCATGAGGATGTTTACATGTCTCAACCAATGGGTTTTGTTGATCCTGACCATCCATCCTATGTCTGTAAATTGCATCGTAGTCTCTATAGTCTCAAACAGGCTCCTCGGGCATGGTTTCATCGTCTTACAACTCACCTTACTCAATTTGGTTTTCAAGGTTCACAAGCTGATTCCTCTCTGTTTTATTATACACATGATGGGGTTCAGTTGTTTGCTAACTCAATCCAATATGCTTAATTGCAAGAGTGTTCACACTCCCATTTCTTCCTCTGTCCAACTTTCCAAAACCAATGGCAACCTACTCTCTGACCGTAGTTCCTATCGTCATATTGTTGGTAAGCTTCGGTACCTTTGTCTTACCCGTCCAGACCTCTCTTTTGCAGTCAACAAAGTTTGCCAATTTATGCATGCTCCCACAGAGGAACATTGGTCTACGGTTAAGCATATTCTCCGCTCTTTGCAGGGTACCGTCGATCTTGGTCTTGCCATCTCCAAGTCCGTTGTCTCCACCTTGCAGTCTTTTTCTGATTTTGATTGGGCAGGCTGTTTGGATGATAGGAAGTCCACTGGTGGGTTTGCTATTTATCTTGGCTCCAATTTGGTTTCTTGGTCTGCTCCCAAGCAAAAGACGGTTGCTCGGTCCTCCACAAAATCTGAATATAAAGCACTTGCGGACACTGCTGCGGAGCTCACTTGGGTTCAATCATTGCTGTTTGAATTGGGTATCTATCTTCCCTCTCCACCACTTCTTTGGTGTGATGATATTGCTGCCACTTACATGACCGCAAATCCCGTCTTCCATGCTCGCACCAAACATGTCGAAATAGATTTCCATTTTGTTCAAGATAAAGTAGCTCATGGCGATCTCACTGTTCAGTTTCTAAGTACCAAGGATCAAGTTGCTGATATTTTCACAAAGGGTCTTCCATCTTCTCAGTTTCGTTTTCTTCGACACAAGCTTAATGTCCTTCCCCAAAGACCATCAGCCTGACAGGGGCTATTGAAAATATAATCTGATAAAGTTGTATTTTATATTTGCTACATTTTGTTATGATCTTGGTAGTGGTTATCACCTTTCTGTACTTATCTATAGTCATGTAAATTGATGCTATATATATGTGAATAAACATAAGCTCTGTGTGGTCAATTTTAGTAAATAACATTTGATTAATTACGTTTCTGATACTCATTAAGCAAAAACATACATACTAAAAAGGGATATATAAATATATAGTAACTAGACATGTTGAATGGACTCACTTGATCCAATAGTCCATCAAACTTTCATCCATGTTATTTGGAAGAAGATTAAAGACGAAGCAATGATTACCAACATAAACAAGGGATTTAAATATATCATTAGTGGTCATACACAGATGACCGAAACTGAACATTCTTCAAATATTTGTAAAACTGCAAAAGTGACCCTGAATTTGTAAACCCAAAAAAATACCTTGAGAAACAACCTCTTATCATGGCCAGTTGCGGCAACCCTCAAAACAGACTCAGCAGCGCCTACAGTATTAGCCAAACAAGCAAATATGCTGTTGGCAGTGTCCTGAGAGATTTGCCACTCAAGGGGATCGACGGGCACTCTATTATAAGAAGAAGGGGGGAAAAAAACAAGGGAATTTGAAATTAGAAATGTTACCTACCACCATGATTACTTCATTGATATGCAGATATGTGTGTGCAGCATATGATTCTGTATATATTATTGGAAATTGAATTTGGTAATAGGAAGAATTATTACAGAATAGGAATCAAAGGGAAGAAAAAGCAGCTTAAAAAGGGCAATGAATATTTTTATTAAGCTTCAATTCAATGTGAATGAACACTTTGTATGCAGAGACTATTAAAATAGTTGTGCTAGTTAGTTTATTACAATTTCTAAAACAATTGTTCGGTAACAGATTAACGTGTGTGTGTGTGTGTGTGTGTGTGTGTGTGTGTGTGTGTGTATTAGGTTTGGGGGAATTAAGAGAAGTTGCAAAACCTAGGGCATCAGCATAGATAATGGGGGTATTTCAAAATTTTGATAAAGTGAGGGAATTTGGAAAAATTGGAAGTCAAACATGAACGAATGCATAGATGTATGTATGTATAAACATGTGTGTGTGTGTGTGTGTGTGTGTGAGAGAGAGAGAGAGAGCGCGAGAGAGAGAGATGAGTAAAGAGTAAATAAAGAAAGACATACGAGATGTTGAGGTGGCGGAAGAGGAGGCCGAGAATGGCGAGAGAGGAGAGGAGGACAAGAAAGACGTCAGAGAGGAGGGTGAGTATGCTTGAATTCTTGTATGCGCAGTGGTAGTACACCAGACTCCCGCATATCATCCCTATCATCGCCTTCCCTCCTCCTCCTCCTCCTCCTCCTCCTCCGTCGCTGCTACTGCTGCTCTTGCACTCCGCCTCCTTCGTCATTCTCTCTCTCTCCCTCTCTCCCTCTCTCTCTGTGCAACGCAACGCAGTTGTGGTTCGGTTTCCCCAATTCCGATTCTATATTCCAATTCTTATTAATTCTGATTGGTCAACCTCTTCAATCTTCCGCCCAACATTCCATATTTTTTTTTTAGCAATAATGCCTCTATCAATCAATTGGTGGCGTTTTTCACAAGATTACTGCAATTAACATATCATTAATTATTTTTAATTTTTAATTTTTTAATTTTTTATTATAATAATGTTTTTAAATAAAATTATTAAAAAAGACATAAATAATTTTGGCACATCTAATCTTATAATTAAGTCCACACACACCATCACATCATGAGTTAAGGTTTATGAGAACACCTACCTCCATCATCACTCATCCATCTTTTCCAAATCCTACCTCCAAACCCTACTAACTCTCAAAACCTTGAAAATTCTTCGGAAGCAACATTTCAACAATAATGGTGATAACTATTTGATTACCTACACTTCTTCAGCAATGACAATGAATGAAAATTTTTTCATGAAATGAGATGAGTACAACAATTAAAATTCAGAGGAGATTCATAACTTTGATAGTGTTCTAAGCTCAGAAGAGATTGACCTTATAAGAATAAGTTTTTTTAGACAAAATGACAAAAATCATAAAAATTGTTCGTCATTTTTTTGAGACTGAACTCCCGAACATATGACCTAAATTTGGAAACACAGGCCCGAACATTTTTCATTTGTTCAGGACAAGTAATTGAACATTTCTTATTTCTTCAGGAACAAATAACCGAAAGTCATGGAGATCGCAGAACCCAAAAAAGAAAAATTTTAAATCAACAACAAAAAACTTTACATTTATTTTCTTATGTCATGAACAAGTATATAGAGATGAAGTAATAATCACTTTCGTAAGTTTTCTTAGAGCTTTGGGGAGAGAGACTTTTTGGAGTGTGGGGGTGTGCATTCAATTAAATAGGTAAACAATTTTCACAAATATAATTTTGGTATTATTTGAAAGGAAAAAATAAATTTTAAGGGTTTTAGAATTTGTAAGTAGAATCTAAGAAATGAAAGATTCAAAATAATTAATGGAATATTAATAGCTGCACTATTTTCATAATCATAAATAAAAAAACCAATTGGTGGTGTGGTGTCCTTCAAAATTTGACGTACAAAAATACAAATTTCTTATTACATTCATCTTTCTTAAAAATTTTAATATAGTTTTAATCTTTTTTTTAGTACGTTTAAAAAAACTGAGATTAATGTAAATAGTGTGAATTTTTTTTTTCAAAAGAAAAACTAAAAATAACCTTTAAAATTGTTGTTAGTATTAAAAAAAGTGTATAAAAATATAAATAAGTGTTTTAAAAAATATGAAGTGTATTGAAAATATAAATATTTTTTTTTACGTTTTGTATTTCTTATTAAAAGGATGTCATGAGCATGACTCAAATCTTAAGCAATTATATTAAATTTGCAAAACTTGCTTTATTTCATCCTCACTACCACAAATTTAGATAGGGACCAAAAAAAAAACTTCTAATTTATACCCAATTACTAATTGTTAAATTTGAACATTATCTAATTCGAGTTTATTTGTTGCTATGCTCCCATTTTATATACAGACATATCACATTTACACATTTAAGCAGTTTCTTTAACTTCACTGAAATAATAATAATAATAAGAGACTCCGTATCATTGAAGATGTATACTATTTTATTTCTATTTTGTATTCAAAAATGTTCAAAAAATTCTACCAAATGTCTCACATGGGTGTAAAATCCGCACAATGTAAATCTCAACCCATATGAGATATTTGATAAAAATTTTAAGATGTCTAACATTACTCTTTTATATTTCAAACTCATTAAGGCTAAGTCGCTAATATAAATTCTCAAGCCCTTTTTTTTTTCCTTTTTCTTGTTTCTTTTTTAATTAATGTTTACTCGAATCAAACTTTAAATTGGTGTCACATCTCCATCTCAATATGATCTCATTCCTTTTTTTTAAAACTTTAATGCCAATCCCAATTTTAATTTATTAATCACACCCATCACAGTTACCTTTAATCAATCATTCTAATTATCGATCTGCTCACACTGGATCAACCTTCCCTCCCCCAAGCATTTCCAAATAATCTTAATAATGGCGTATAATAATCCTTAAAAATAATTTATATAGTTTATACAACATTATCATCAGACTAATGGTGAGAGAAGGGCATATGATGATGACAAACGGTAAACTCTCTATCTTTTGCAGAGTAGGAAAGAATAATTCAATAACAATAATATTATACAAATATATAAAATGGTGCAACAAGCCTCTATATTATTCAAAAATAATAGTAATAACAAATTTAAAATGAATAAAGCTGAAACTTCCAGCAATGAGGTATGATGGGCTTTGCTCAGGGTCATTAACAACCCAAGAAAGATGGAACACTCAGCTTGAGATATGCATATGTGTGTGTATATACATATATAAACATCTCATAATTCTGTCTCCCTTTCAATTTACTTGAAACATGTATTTGAATTAAAAGCGACAAACTAAAAACCAATCAAATCCTTTTTCAACTAATAATTTCGCGAGCAACATTTTGAATCCTTACAAACAGCCAACCATTAATTATTCCTATACACACATTCATAAATACAGTTAAATTTATTATACATTACACACCATTTTACCAATTTTTGGAATATCAAACTGCCAACCGACTCTATAAAAGAATGGTATGGGCTGCTGCCTACATCCGCTGTTCTAACTTTGTGCTGCATCAGGTTTACCCATCACCAAAGGAACAACAAACAGCAGGCCACTGTCCCATTCTAAGCAGCTTCTGCCTCCAAAGCTTCACTTTCTGCACAACAAAGATTGATGAATAATTTCCAATTATTGTCGGTATTATGATGGGATCATGAAAAACAAATAGGATAGGGGAATAAGGCTATCATAATCATTAAGTAGCTGTGATTTTGGTTAGGGAAAAATGGACAGTATACCATGGTAATGGTCAAGGCATGCCAATGCCCGATTATAAAAACAGTTACATGCACACAATTCATGTTAAGTCCATATCTTCATATCCTGTCGTAAGAAACTTAGCACAACTGTATTTCAAGTTAAATGCAGAAATCCTCCATACAAAATGGGGTTGTATTAGTAATAGTAATTTGTGCCATCACCAAAAATAGATAAGTCCGTGCAGATTGGTTTGGTTCTCAAGCAATGATGCAACATCAAGTTTTGAAGATGGCGGCCATTCACATCAATGGCTCATTTTTTTATAAATGATATGCAACTCTAAAGGCCACATAAATCACAATAAAAATCCCCATTAGTCCAAACACAGGGTTAATAAATTGTTTATTTGATTTAGAAGTTCTTGAACATATTCCATACCACATGAATTTATATGAAAGGCAATTGAGGTGGCTGAGGCAGTAGAGTTTGAGCCCCATTGAGTGGGTCTTAGAAAAATAGGAATAACGAAAGGAGATTTCTCTGGCTTATATGCATAGTTATTATTCTTCTGAGTCATAAGTTATGTCTGCATCACATAGGAGTAAGAAAGCCTGCGTAGAAAACACTGAGGACCTACTTTTGGCATCATTAAGATTATGCACCATGAAAATACTTCTAAAATGCAAAATCAGCAGTTCATCTATTTCTTTTTGCTTTTCTAGCTTCTGTTCTTTTTGCTTCCAAAGCAAATTTAAATCTAAAGAAGAAAATGAAGTTTAGGAACAAAAATGAGCAGTTTACTTCCTTTTTTTTTTTCCCCCAGCCTTTATTCTTTTTTCTTCAAAGAGAAATTATAAGTACCTACGGTAGCAAATTCAGAAGTAAAAGAATATTTATCAACAGTTCAGTAAAAGAAGTGACCACAATAGTAGAGGGGAATTACGAAATATTTATAGAAAAGAAAACTGCATAAATGACTATCTCTATTGCATCATGTGCACACTAGATAGGGAATTACGAAATATAAAATCCACACACCTTCACCGGATAATTGTTCAAAGCGAGCAACTATGTGTTTTCCATAAGTGTATTTCTTCAAAGCATGAAGATGTATCCTGATTCGATTTAGCAAAAGTTCACGTTGTGTATCATTGCTTGTGTCGAGGATCTTTTGGACCACATAATTTGCAAACTGGTCTTTCATCATTGTCTAGAATAAACCAATAAGGAAGTCATACAACAGATAGAAGCTCAATCGATACAAGCTTCAAAATCAACTCAACAGTATTCAAATGGCATATATTCCTTGAAAGCATTTGAACTATGAAGAATTACATATAGACTTTATGATTGTTCACAATATCAAAATACAAGAATATTAATACTCGTCTGCCACAGGCCAAGCAATTGAAAAACTGCATCATATAGTGCCTGTAATTCTAGGTCTTAAGCCAACCTGAAACAGCTTGACCCAACCTAGTCAACACTTGCCCCCTTGACCCAAGAATTAAAAGGCTATGTAAGTGTTTAGTTGTTAAATATATCAAAAGATTCTTATATAGGGCACCATTCCCAAGATATTTCAAAAGATTCTTAGTTGATACGTGCAAAATCTCAACATTCCTAGTAGAATATCTAAAGAAACATCGTCTATTGTTCCTATTCAGCACAATCACAATTCCCAATATTAATTGGTATAATTGCAAATGTTTGGCCTGGAAAGTGTAAGGATGCGAGTTGGAACGTGAAGGTAGTCACTTTGTATAAACAATGCCAGATATTAAGTTTCTACCAATTATGTACCCTCCCAGGTTCCCCCCAAAAGTTCCAATTTACAGGAATCTCCTGGGTACTAGTACTACAAAAGGAAAAGTTTAAATCATAATATAAGAATATTTTCAAATCTCACTTCTTTGAAAGAAGAGGGCATAAGCTCAACACAAAAAACAGGTAGCACCTTAACTAAATATAGCAAGGGCTGGTGTCTGTATCTGAGCCTATTGATTAACATGAAATATGGACCAATCCCAGATTGGTTCAGCCTGACAGGTGTGCACTTAAAAGACTTGGGTAATTTTTACAAACAAAATAACTTATTTGCTGAGTATCTCATAACTAATCAACACCACAAGTATTCTAAAACTTTCAGTTCTACTTACCAATAAATTATCGTTTTCAGACTGCCCAAGAATCTCCTCAATCAAGAGTTCCCGTTCAGCTGCATCACAATGCTCCAAACACTTCTCAATAACATTCGATGCATATTTATGTTGACTCATTTGTACAATTTTTCCAGTCAACTTGCTGATGATTTGGCTTCTTTCATGAGCCTTTCCCCTTTCCAAAACATGCTGCAAGCATTTCATTCAATTCAGTATAATAATTAAACATGTAATTTGGGAAACATGAGGAAAAAGAAAGCATAAAAACAAAGAAGAAAGAAGAGAAATCCAAAGTGGGTAACCATCTGAAGTTCATACAGAAAGAAGAAATCCCTATGTACACAGGGATTTAATCTATTGTGCATTCAAACAACCATGCATGATATTTGCATATCTAAAAAACTAGTTAGACAAGAACATAAAATACATAGCAAACAATTCAATTAATTATAAAATTCAAATAAAATTTCCAAAATCCTTACCGGCATTCTAAGAAGCACGGATACTTCTAAGAAGGTAACGTATCCGTGTCATGTCCGTCTCGGACACCGACACTCTTTGGACACTCTTAGGACACGTGTCCAACACTTTTCAAAACGTGTCCTATTTTTAAATTTTTTTTAAAGACCTAGACACTCTTTGAACATTTGGAGGACACACGTGTCAATCACTTAAACACACACAGGTGCCTATCGATTAGACATATGTAAAACTAATTATAAGTTTGAACAAAACAACTTAAGATACAATAATAAAACAAAACCCATATAAATTTATAGGAATTAGTGTCATATTGCATTTTTTATTATCTTTGAATGATATATTTATATATATAATATTAATAAATATATAAAATTATATATTTCGTGCGTGTTCTCCACGTGTCATGTCCTGCATTATTTGAAAATTAACGCGTCGGTGTGTCCGTGTCGTATCTGTATCGTGTCACGCGTCCGTATCCATGCTTCTTAGCCAGCATTGCAGTGATTAAATATGGAAGAATCTTATCTCTTGATATAATCGCAGCATTTTTATCAAATTAACTGTTTGTCGTACTGATCCTAGGACTCGGATCTGTATGGCTACAAATTTCATGCACACAAAGCCAGTGTATTCACAGGGCTTGTTCTAATACACTGGACAAAGACAAAGGCAGTTGCTTCAAATTCCAGAATTGGAATGTATTTTGCTTCTCTTCTTATATTACAAGCTATTCGTACACTATAATATTTGAATTTCTTGATAGCATGAAATCATCTCAACTATCAACATAGTTTTAAGTTCCATCACAATAGTTCTACAACAAAAGAACCACAAGCTTCTATGCAGTGGCAGAAAATTGCAATTCCAGAGTGAAACATCATTGAAAGACACAAGGATTTGCATCTTTGATGGAATAGCAAAATATATGGCACTACTAATGAAGGACATAAGGTAGACATGATTTCAACCATGGTTTTAAAAACCGGACCGGACCGGCCGGTTCAACCGGTGACCGGATGGGGTTCCGGTCCGGTCGACCCTCTTAAACCGGCCATTTGAAAAAACCGGCCTATTTTTTGAAAACCGGTGAACCCACCGGTTAAACCGGTCGACCCGGTCACGGGTTGATCAAACCGGTCCGGCCCCCTTTTTTTTTTTTTCCTGTTTTTTTATTTTCTTTCTTTCTTATTTTATATATGTTAGAATTTACCATAAACCTACCACCACTACCACCTCACCTACTCCACTAAACCTAACCCACTACACCACTACCACATCACCTACTCCACTAAACCTAACCCACCACCTACTCTCCACCTACTTCACCCACTCTCACCTACTCCACTAAACCTAACCCACCACCTACTCTCCACCTACTTCACCCACTCTCACCTACTCCACTAAACCTAACCCACCACCTACTCTCCACCTACTTCACCCACTCTCACCTACTCCACTAAACCTAACCCACCACCTACTCTCCACCTACTTCACCCACTCTCACCTACTCCACTAAACCTAACCCACTAAATCCACATACTCTCCACCTACTTCACCCACTTAAACCTACTCCACTAAACCTAACCCACTAAATCCACATACTCTCCACCTACTTCACCCACTTAAACCAATATATTTATGACGTCACGGTTCGATTCCGGTTCAACCCGACGGTTGAACCGGTGACCCGTCCACCCGATCATTTTTCCGGTTCATTCACCGGTCCGGTTTTTAAAACATTGATTTCAACATTACGAACTCGACATAGACTTTTAGTATTCTGGTATTAAAAGCATCATCTTGGTGCTCCTTGGAATGTTAAATGAGAAAATGTTGAGTACTTTTAAGGCCTAGGGACCTTTTTTCAAGGAATCACTAACAGAATAGCTGCTGGCTGAAAAAGGAAAAACAAATGAGAGTCATAACAGAAAATCAAAGTACCAGGAGGAAATTTAAGTTATGGAATGGCGACTAGTTAGCTGGATATCAAATATTAAAATGTTAATACAAGCCTTAAACGGTGATGCCAGACTTGAAACACCAAATCTGACCTGGAGTGCACAAACTAAAACGATTAAATTTGTGGAATTAGTTTTTTTTTCAATATATTTTTTGCATCATTTTCACATAAAAAAGACCAAACAAATAGTCTCAATAAAACATGTGAATAAAAAAAGATTATATAAATTGTGAAATTAATATCTTTTTGTTAGGCTATTCAAGTTAAATGGTATCAGATATTGTCAACAAGTATTAACAACCAAATCTGAAGCAAAAGCATAATGTTCCAAAAACTATAATTCGAATTTGTCATTGCAGTGAAAGTAATGATATGATACCATCAGGAGGAAAAAAGAAAAAAAGATAATCAAAAAAGACCAACCTGGGTAACATAATTTCCATATTGTTCTTGAGCAAGAACATAAGCAGAGTCCAGGATTTCATCAACTATGCATTGACTTTGCAAATCATCTGAACAATGCTCCAAAACTCTCTATAATATACCAAGAAAAAGGGGAGAGTTCAATATAACATTACAAACAAGTCATGAAAGGTGCCTTCTCACCAAAGAAACAGTAAAATATCACCTGAATAACACGGCAACCATAGGGATGAGTGGAAAGATTAGCAACTTGGCCCCGGAAGGCAGAAATAATAAACCCAATTTTCTCCGTCGGAATGCATTCAATGCACTTTTGTATGACATGATTTCCATTTTGATCTCTCACACATCTCATGACATGGCCATCAAGCTCATGCACAAGCTGTGTTTTCTGGTCAGGTTCAATAACCTCGAGGGCCTAGAATGAGAATCCAGAAAAGGATCAAATATTAAAGGAGTTACAATTAAACATTTAAGAGATAAGAATAAATGAGGACTATATAGAACTAGCACCCAATTCACAAACACAGTCAAATTTCCAAAGAAACATTAATACAAAAGCATAAAAAACCTGTACATTCTGTGAAACTATTATACCACACTTTCGAGTGGTATTAATTTGAAAGAGAATAGAAATCCTATCCATTAGCAAATATTCAGCGAGACCAACCAACATCAAAACCATAAAATGATTTTTAAGTGTGCCGTCTAATAACTCAAAAATGTGGCACAAATATATGTCACAATCTAGCTGAGGATATCATGTGTAAATAACTACTGTTTTTGTATTACAAACAGAAGCAGCTGATTTTTATTTTTGCATTCATTATACGCTCCTAGAGAAAAGGAAATATTTGGAACCAAAACATAGATAGAAGCCCATCCTCATTTGTAAGACAACAAGAAGAGCAATTTACATCGACAAACTAAGAGGCAAGCAGTCATATTCAAGAAAATAAATTTAAAACCATAGCAACTATTAACAAATGTATTCACACTTCTTACATATCTAAGTATTAACCTTTTAAGTACAAAACCTTGTGTCAACAAGCCTCTTGAAATTGCGAGGTCATAAAAATTCACTTACCTTCTGAATTACACGACATCCATACATCTGCAAACTTAAAGTTAACATCTGTCCTGAAAGTTGATCTGCAAGTTCCTTCCTTTGTTCGCAAGTTCCATGCTCAAAAAACTGTCAGCATTTAAGAGTGGTTTGGGGGTAGAGAAAAGGAGCTAACCATATCAAATTATGTTTGATAGATACACACGTATGAACATAACTTTGAAAGCATACCTTTTGAATGACATAGTTCCCAAAAACATCTGTCATTAACTTTGAAGCATGAGGAAGAACTTCTTTGAAAACAGATGCCTTCTCTTCAACCCCACAGTTTTCCAACTTCTGCTGAATAAACCGACTTCCATGTTGATCAACACTGAGGTAAAGATACAAAAGAAATTATTTTCCATATTGAAGATAATATTGCAATTACATTATAAAGATGAAATGGCAAACAACCTAGGTATAAAACATCACCTGAGTTCAACAATACGCCCAGCAATATCAGGGAGGTCAATTTTACGACCACTGCTGGATTTTAGCTCTTCCAGAAAAGAATGTTTTTTAGTGTCATTAAAGGAGTCACCTCCTCTTTGTCCTTGCCATCCAGAGTATACTCCCACATTTCTACTAGAACCTTGAGAAAATCTCAATTCATTTCTGTTTCCTGGATGATTTGCTCCTGCCACAGGAGATGCTGGCAGCAATGGACTGCCTAGAGGTGAAACTGGAAATTGTGTCATGACACCCATGCTTGGTGGACTTCCATAGTAACTACTAGCTGTGATTCCTCCTTTTCTTGGACTAAGAATGTTCAGACTTCCAGTTGCTGAAGGATGGAATGTCTGATCACCCCTATAAGCAGCAACAGTTGCTTCCTTTTGTGAAGCAAAAGAACCAACTTGGTCCCCAGGTACACCCATTGACGCCAACCAACCATATTGACCTGAAGCACCATATGCATCCTCAGCAGGGTGCTGGAAGTATTGCATTTGAAGGGGGTCCAGGAAAGGAGGTTGCAGCAACAACCCATGCTGTCCATAGAACTTGTTTATATGTTGTAAATCACCTGTATGTGGAATGCCTTCCCCTGTTGAAACACCAGGAGTTCGACTATTGAAGCTTTGACCAGATGCAGCATCATATTGCATAGGTATACCAGTATCAGATGGATATCCGGCTATAAATGGGGGAAGAAATGCAGAGCTCATAACATAACCACCCACACTGTATTGAGGAGGGTATAAGCCAGATGGATGTAAACCAGGATAAAATGGATTCCCTGAAGACATATAGGCTGCTGCCGTTGCATATAAAGGAGGTGTGAGTCCAGGAGGTTGCAGAACTGGTTGTACCTCAGCTGAGGAAAACTTTGGGTGGCCATGAGAAACTTTTTCCATGCCACTGTGTGAGAGGTTCACTCCTTGAGAAATCACTTGGCCTTGAGCTCCATGAACTTGATAACTTGCACCTCGTCGGGAAAAAGGCTGCTGTTGCATATTATTCCCATGACATTTCTGTTCTTGTAGAGAAAAAGTATCTGACCTGGTGGGACCACTAACACACACCTTCTCCCCAGAACCAGCATCCTTATTGATTAGTTCAACACTTTGATGGGGTGGTGAACCCTCAATTGTGGCAGGATATGATTTTTTTGGCAAAGAGGTAATTGACGGTTTATCATTGGATGTTAACCCATGATCATTTGCAGCTTCAGTATTCACATCCGCATAAACATTGACAGAGCCTGATTTTGAGTCTGAGAACTTTGAAACGTTCAGAGAAAGATTATCCAATGAAATGGCTTGAACATCATGATCAACGGGCTCCTCTGTTGTAACATGGCTTGAGGAACGAGACTGATTGTACACAGGAGAAGGGGTGCGGGGAAAGTCTTCCTAAGATTCAGAAGGAAAATGTAGCAAATCATAAGCATTAGGCAACACACACAATTACAACCCTCTAATACTCACCAAAAAAAAAAAGACAAAATACACAAAAATTAACCTCCTAATGACCAAAAATTGTAACTTAACAATCTAGTGTTCAATAATGTTTAATGAACCAACTTGGTTCCACACTGAAGCATCAATAATTTTTTACCCACTACTTAATAGTTTCAGTCTACTTAATAGTTTCAGTCATAATTGTTTATAGGAATGCAAATATACAGGTACATTACATTAGCAAATATATGTCTAGTAATATCTGATAAGATAACTTCCTTAACAGTTCACTGTATTGATCCAGGCATGAAAGTATGGGTGTTTTGTTACTTTTGTAAAACAGGTGGCTTTGTAGGGCTTTTCTAGGCTCACAAGCACCGTGATTGAGATTTGAAACTATACCACCAATAGTAGCTTGTCATAAGGACTCAGTGACCTTTTTTTTTTTTTTTGATAAGTAATTAAATTTATTAGAAAAGCATCAAAAAGATGCAAAGAATACAATAAACCTAGGACTCCTAACCAATAACTTTATCCAAAAAATCTATGAAAACAAATATATCCAGGTCGGCCCGTGACTCCAACCAAGTGCATAAAGTAAGCAACAATCAATTCTCAAGCCAAGACACCGAATGAGTAATCTCGAGAAACGTCCATCGATTCCTCTCCAACCAAACCAGCTACATCAAACAAAAAGGCGTGACGGACCAAATCCACCGACGTTGACGACCAACACGAGCACCTCGCCAACCCCATAACATCTCCAACACCCCCTTGGGCTGCACCCCAACATCCCCAAACAAAGACCATACCAATCCCCATAGTCGTGATGCAACATCACAATGAAGAAATAAATGATCCACCGACTCTGCATCCGCACAACACATACAACAGCGATTCACTAAGACATGACCTCGACGAACCAAATTGTCAATAGTGAGATTCCGGCCCAAAGCAGCTGTCCACAAAAAGAACACTACCTCAGATGGAACACCCGGAACCTAAATGCTTCGCCAAGGGAACAACGTAGTCGCCTCCCCCACCAAACTCCGATAAAAGGATGACGCAGTAAAGAGTCCTTTTGTACCCAACACTGCCCACACAACCCCATCCTCCCCTTGCCCAACGAGCCCCAAACCATATAACAACCCCAGCATCTCCTCCAATTGAGTAGCCTCCCAACCCTGAACTGCCCGCCACAGGTGGACGTCCCAAACCACCACCTCTACATTGCCCAAATAGTTCGCCACAGTCACCTCTGGCTCCGCCGCAATGCCAAAAATCAAAGAGAATCGATCCTCCAACAACACCTCCCCACACCATTTATCCCTTCAAAACCGAACCCTCTCCCCATTTCCCACTCGAAAATGCACCTGATCCCAAAACTCATCCCTCCCAAACCAAATCCCTTTCCACAATCCCCGCCCATGAATTCCTGTAACATTATCCGTCCTCCAATCCCTGCTATCCACTCCAAACTTTGCAGCAATCACCCTCCGCCAAAGCCAGTCTCACTCCCACGCAAACTGCCAAAACCATTTACGCAATAAGGCTCGATTAAAAGTGACCAAACTCCAAACCCCCAAACCACCCACCTCCTTTGGACAACAAATCCGATCCCATCCCACCAAATGATAACGGAAAACTTCCTCTCCACTCCCCCACAAAAAATCTCCCTGTAGCTTCTCCAAACGTCGAGCCACCAAAACCGGGATTACCTGTACCGACATGAAGTCGGAATACTACTCAGCACACTGTTAATCAAAGTTAAACGCCCCCCTTTTGACAAATAGTGCTTTTTCCAACCTGTCAGCCGCCACTGCACTCGCTCCACCATGCCATTCCACACCCCTAGCGTCTTGAAGGTAGCACCCAACGGCAAGCCTAAATAAGATATTGGCAAAGCTGACACTTTGCACCCCAAAATAGTTGCTAACATGGTGACTCTGTCAACCTCCCCTATTGGGATTAACTCAAACTTACTCAAATTCACTCTCAAGCCCGAGACCGCCTCAAAATACAACAAAACACAAAGCAAATAGCAGTACTAGGATTTTGAGATAAAATACTTCAAACTAAACAGATTTTTCTCCAGCACTAAACACTTTAAAATGAAAAGATCAATGTCGTTTTCCTGGATTCATCTTTATCTAGATCAAATAAATTAAAATGAAAAGATTGTTCATGAATTATAAGTAAATCTATAATTATTGCACAAGGTTATGAAAGTAAGTATAAAAGGGTGAGATGACCTGTGTTACATGGACTCGCCACTTTGGCGCGAAATGCCCGTGTCGACACGACACGACACGGGTGCGGGTGTGGGATCTGTGTCGGATTCGTCTATTCTCTATCGGACACGGCTCACAGCAACAAAAATGAAAGAGGTGAGAGTAAGAGATAAGAGATAACCTGGTCGAATGATCCGGTCGAATGATCCGATCGAATGATCTAGTCGAAGCTCCATCCGGTCGATCCAGTCGAAGATCGAAGCTCCGTCAGTCGATCGAACAGCCGACCACCACAAACGACTTCGAAAAGCCTCTCTCTCTCTCTCACCTTCTCTCTATCCCTCGCGATCGCGATCTATGGCTTCCCTTTTCTCTCCCTCTCTCTGTCGTTCCTCTCTTGATTCCTTCGTATCTATCTATACATAATAATAATAATAGTTTATATATAATAATAGTAATAGTAAAGGAACTGAATAATATATAATAATAACTATTATAATAATAACTATTATTATTATATATTATATAATAATTATTATATAACATATAATATATTTATAAGATAATATATACTTATATATATTAATTAAAAAAATAAATATATGTATGTAAAATAAAATAAAAAAAATTAATTGGAACATATTATTTAAAAAATATAATAAATAAATAAAATAATTAATGTATATTAAAATAAAAATATTTATAAAAAAATTAAAAAAATTTGACGTGTCCCTTGTTGTATCAGTATTCCCATTTTTTAGAAATTATCGTGTCCCGTATTTGCGTGATAATAAATATATATATTTTTTTAAGAACTATTTAACGTATCCCCGTACCCGTATCCAAATTTGGATACATATCCACGTATCCTTAATTTTTAATTTTGAAGTGTCCGACCCTTAGATACGCACCCGCACCCGACACCCGTACCCGCGTCCGTGTAACTTAGGAGACGACAACCATTCACTCAAGAAGGCAATAACAAAAGATAAAGTAGTTTTGATTCATTCCCTGCATTTAAGCAGGAAGAAAAGAAGATTGCAGGCTGGCTGTGGGCCCTAATGGCAATCATGGTAGGCACTAAGATGGCGTGAGACCACCAGAGGTGTAGAGGGAGAGAGCTAAGACATCCCAGATTAGGGAGTGGCAAAGAGGGAGGAGAACCTCTGAAGGCTCTAATGTAGGGAGAAGCTATATGTGTAAGGAGAAGCTTTGCTGCATATGGAGGGAAAGATCTTTTTATAGGAGAGGTGGGCCATGCAGGTTAGCTCACACTCAACAGTTGTGTCAAGTAGGTGCAATACACCTTACAAGGTTTCACAATGGGTAGTTGTGATGCGCTTCCCAAGGTATCACATGACTTGGTCAATCTTGGTCTTAGTGCAAAGGCCTTTCTGTCTTGTTTCTACCTGATCAAATGATTATTTTGGAAAGTAGACTAAAAGCTAGCTTTTTGGATTCTTTGGATTTTTTTTTTTTGAAAAAACGTGCAAAAAAGTAGAGAGGTGATATGACCTAAAAAAACCAAAAAATTGGCTTTTAACCAACTTCCCAAAATAAAGTGGGGCCACCCTGTGGGGATGAGCCAAGCAACTTTAGAGATTCCTCAACTCTAGCCATCAATCCACAAATCTATGGTGATCAACCACAGGATCATAGGTTGCTCAAGCATCCCCATAACTCCCTCGGGTCATAGTAGCTCTGAATTTGTTTTCTTTTGTGGAGTTTTTAGATACTCTTCATGTTTAGTTTGTTGTTTTTTTCAGTCATTTTTCCTTTGGATTTGTTAGCATTGCCTCGATGCTTCTAAGTTAATAATATTGACTTCTATTTATCCAGAAAAAAGAAAAAAAAAAAAAATTAACCAGTCCATATGATTACTGATTAAATTTGCTATTATATTACCAAGTGTGGTAAAAAAAATCGAAAAGTTGACTTTTCGATTTTTCCCTAATACACCACATAATGATAGATCACAAAGTCTAATAATAAGTTAAATGTTGCACATATCAACAGATACAAGAAGAATTTCCAGCAAAATCTCTCGATGAAGAACATCATTCTAATTTTTAGAATATGGTTATGATGCCCAACAACCAAATTTCAAACAAAACAAAACAAAAATATGAAAGAGTAGACAACTCAGATCAAGTTCTATACCTGTATAAGAGCGACCAAGCTTTTATGATGAGCTGTCAAAGAAGCTGCATGATATCCAGGCGTGAATGCATTAATACTTTCCAAACAATTATCCGAAGCTTGCTGGGGTGGCCTATCATCTTCAGGCTCCTCGTTATGAGTAGAAAGGGAAGCTCGAGCGAAGTGCAGGGATCCATTGCCACTGTCATCAAAGGAGGTTAGTCTCCAATTATTGCCAAAACCACCCATTTGACCTACAAGGCATCGATTCTCCTCTGAGATTATAGGTGGAGGAAGCCTTGGATTCAAGTTAACATTAGAATAGTAATAGGTAAAATAGGCTGGATCAGCACGCAGTTGTTCCTCAGACTCGTAATTTTCTGTTGAACTACTAAAACTTGCCAAGCTTGAATTCAGATTAGAGCTCTGTTGAGCCATAAGGTTCCCAAAAGCTGCAAATGAACCCTCCATACTTGGAGGTGCACTACCACTTCGATTTGGTACCATGTTGCTCTGATCCCCGCAAACTCTGTGCCTCTTCAGAAGCAATCCCAACTCATTTGCTGCAGTATTATTCAGTGGTGGTGCAAATGTTGCAGCATCCTTCGAAGAGGACCAATTTCTAGGTCCACTGCTTTCCATCATTCTCATAGGGCTCTCAGTTGCCATCCTACTGGAAGAGTGAAAATTATTTTTTTCTACCAACAATGTGTTTCACATATCTTCTGGACTACAGCTGATCCCATGTTATCCAGGTCCTCTTCAACTTAAAGTTTCTGGATAGCTCTATAAAGAAAAACAATAAGGACGAGAAGAACTCTCATCAAAGATATGAGGAAAACAGACAACAAGCACAGCAACTGACATGGTAATTCTAGCCTTAATTATGAATAGACCACTGGCAAATTACAAATGAAATTCACATAGCCAAAGTTGTCCCAATTGAAGTGCTGCAGTAGCTGATACAACTATCAAACTACAAAAAAGGTGGTGAATTGAGAAAGAAGATGCAGGACATAAATTTTTGCTGTGCATGTACTAGCTGTTAGGCTTGCTCTTTTCTGTCTGTGTTTTACCAGTGACAAGTGATCTGTGGCTGTGCCCAGTCCCATTACAACATCCCTACCCGTATGAATAACAGCTGAGGCTAAGCAAAGCAGGGCAGGGAGACTCCAAATAAAACTATCCTCATCCTTGTAACCTTAGGTTAGGAGGGCTTGGATACGAGCATCGGGTGCAGGTGGGATATGCATCTGAAAGTGGGATATGACACAGGGAAATATTCATATATAAAATGTTATAAATGGTTTTGTATAATATTCATATACAAAATGTAACCTAGGTTAGCTGATGCTAAAACTATTGCATATTGCATAATATTCGTTTGTAAAATGTTACAAAGTATGTAGAAATGTACTTGAAATTAAATAGAATTTAGAAAAAATATTTATTGACTTTCACGGTTTTCATGTGATAATAGTTTTCTTTTCTTGATATATGTGGTATTTGCCCATATCAACTAATCAAATCTCTCAACATTTGGGGGATAAATAAGACGATCAAAGTTAAGTGGGTTAGTCATAATCACACAAAAATCATAAGAATCCACAGACAGTCATGATCTACTTTTTTTTCCCCTTTCGTTACTTTCGATGAAATAAATGCACAATCTTTACACCCAATTTTAGTCAAACTTCAGCACCATCTCTGGCATAAACAGACACTAGAAATAGAACTCGAAAGTCAAGTTAAGCTAAAACAAAATATAACTCATTATTCATTGATCGTAAAGCAGAACCACAATCTTCACACAACAGTATGTATCACGTCAGCAACACACACACACGCACACACACACATATATATGTATAGCTAAACCTCTGTAAAACGGCGAAAGCAGAGTCTTGGACAGCTTTGACAAAGAAGAAAACCATGAAAAACAACACAGAAGATAGAGAGAGATGAGAATTCAAAGGAAATGCTCGAAAATTAGAACCCTAGTGGAGACGATGATGAGGAGAGAGACTCACCTTGAAGTGGTTTGGGAGTTGACTAAGGAGACAAACCCTAACGAAGTTGGAAAACCTCAAAGGTGTGTGAAGCTCGATGATGAACTCTTCTGAAATTTCCGAGCGAAGAGAGAGAGAGAGCGAGAGAGAGGGTTTGTATTGTATTCTTTTCTTTTCTTTTGTTTAAAAATACAAATGTCGCTTGCTAAACCCATCACAGTGTGTAGACATGGTGGGTTTGAAGTTTTGTTTTTTTAATATATTTTCATCTATTTTCTTGCAAGAAATAGAAATAAATTAATTTACCACTTAAATGACAGTAATGCCCTCTTGCAAATATGACAGTAATTTTTGTTTGGATAAATTATACCCATCTCTCTTAAAATTTGTAAAAAATACAATAATTTTATAGTTTTATCATAATTAAATTGTACTTTCTTAAGATTTTAATTTACATAATATATAACCCTATTTATTGATAATTCGTCAGTTATATAAATCGAAAAGCTATAATGTTATATCTTTTATATTTATGTACATATTTTATTTTATTTATTATTGTGATTTTATAATATTTGCATTATTTTTCTTAGTTTATCACTTTGGTTTTAAATATTTTTTTAAGTCATTTTAACTTCGAAGGGTTTAGAAGGACAAAATAATAATAATAATAATAATTTTGCTTTTATATTTTTGTCTTTAATAAATATTTTTATATAAATGATTGATTAAGACTTGACTTTTAGGATGGACTGAAATTGTCTTATATAGTAAAAAGATTAGAAATGCTATATGAGAGGGGGATTTGCGCCAAACAATAAGGCCGAGCTATGGTAGCGCGGGGTATGGTGTTGGGCCCTGCGAGGGCCAGACCCTGTGTCTGACCGAACTGAACCAATGCGGCTCCCCGGCCCATTATGTTGGGCTGAGCAGACCGTCGACCAGAATACGGAGACACACAGATGCTCAATCAAGCTATAATTCGGCCTGATATTCGGTTAGATCCACAGTAATGCGTTAGGCCGAGCCACGGACAGTCCAGGTTGAATTTGGGCCGAGATGTTTTACAAGGTAGCGGGAGGAAACCGAGATGTCAAACCGCATGCCTCACAACCGGTCAGTTCAGATGGACCAACTTATTATAGTTCGGTCGTCCTAGTCATTGTGGTGTTTCTCTCAAGTGATAGGTCAGTCGTGATAGCCCGGTTTTGTGAGCCACCTGGACCAATGATATGAAGAAGGTAAAATCCACACCTGATATGCATCAATACCGTTTGGCGATTCGACAAACACTGTTTGGAAGTTTTGGTCTCTACACGTGTAAGGAAGGTAGAGGGGAGCACAGCTGCCTGTCTAGGAAAGGACAGCAGAGGTAATGCGCCCACAATCTCTGAGGCTACATGGCCAGCCTAGAAAATGAGGAATGGGGGGGACGTTAGAGGTAAGCAATCTAAAGGAATTCACAACTCTCTTTCTCAAAAACACTCTCTACATTCTTCTTCTTCTCCAAGTGTGTTGACTTGATCGTCGAAGGGTTTATCCGGCAGCTCACCGCCGGGCAGCTCACCTTCTTTCTGTTTTCAAGATAAGCAACGTTACGTGAAGCTTGTGCTCAAGGAGTACGGAGAACCAAGAATATTTCACCCCCGTACAATTGGTGCCATCTGTGGGAAAACTATGACAGACAAACCTTGTTCTTCAAGCTTTTTCGACCGTTTCCATGGCTAACAATGACAAAACTCTGCTGTCTGTTGTCAATGGTATCACACCAGAGTCTGTCCGACGGAGAGATAGCCCTCCTGCTATTCCGATTATGGCAGGCTTGGAGACCTCTTTCAGAGGTGTGCGAGACAAACGCGCAAGGAACACTGACCACTCAAAGAGTACAGAGGGTCGACGACGACGGGGAGAGTCATATGCTCAATGTCTGGAGCACAAACTCGGAGACCAGGACGCCCTCATTCGTAAGATAATAACTGACATGGAGGCGTTGAAGCGCCAGATCAAAGGGAAGGGTGTTACTGGAGAGGGCAACCACAGTAAGCGCATCATGCCCCCTCGCTCTAGCAGTCATCCCCAAGATAGGATGGCTTCTCTCTCCATCACCAGAAGCTATGGGGTTGGGGACTCCGACCCACAGGTAGAGAGATCTGACACTCGTAACAACAGCTACAGTCCCTCACGTCCATCGACGATGTTGAGATACTCTTACTCCGCTGTTCGGGGGACCTGAGGGATATGTTGGAGGAGCGGGCTCGCCATAGAGAGACCCAAAGATTGCCGATGTTGCAAAGGCTGAGTCTCCAAATCCGTTGCAGTGAGGAAGTAGCAATGCCAGCACCTAGAGCGATGGCCCCAGCGCCAGTGGACAGAGAGCTAGCGAGACTTACCGCTACCCCACTATCCCTAGAAATCGAGAGCACGCCGCTCTCTGTCGGATTCCACTAACCTAAGTTCACGCTGTACGACAGGAAGACAAATCTGTACATGCACGTGAGTCATTACCGACAAGTAACGGCTGGCCACCGGCGTAATGACGCCTTGATGTGTCTCATATTCCCAACAAGTTTGGGAGAACTGGGTCTGAAGTGGTTCGAAAGGCTCCTGAAAGGGAGCATCGAGGGGTGGCAACAACTAGCAGAGGCCTTCGTCACCAGATTCAAAACTAACACTCGAACACCGAAGGAGGTCGACCATCTCCTAAGCGTCAATATGGAATTTGGGGGCTCTTTGAAGGCATACAATGCCAAGTACTGGAAAACCTACAATGAGATCCTCGATTGCCCCACCAATCTGGCGATCGCCCAATACAAGCGGGGTCTCCCAGTCGGACATAGGCTGCGAGACTCGCTCACGATGCACCAGCCTATAACCATGGAATCTTTGATGCAGCGGATCAACGAACATATCCAAGTAGAGAATGATGCCGCCACCGCAACCGAGAAGGAAAATCTGGTCACGGTGGACATAAGAGTGGCAGGCAAGGTTCACTCGGTGGGACAGGAAGACAACCGCCCAAATGACCGAGCTAGAGACCAACATCGCGGTTCAAACTGCAATGATATGAACAAAAGGCGCATAAACAACCGAGCTGCTCCTCATGATGAAGAAGAAGATGCCAAGAGAAGGTTGAAAGCACGAACCGGCATCACCACTGTATTTAAAATCCCTATTTACTGCATCCTAAGTGAAATCCAAGGTGAACCTTACGTCCGTTAGCCGACCAAATTGGGAAACACGCAGAGGGGTTTCAACTCGAGGTATCGCTACACTTTCCATGAAGAAAAGGGGAACTGAACAGAGGACTGTGTGCCGCTCAAAAAACATTTGGAGGAACTAGTGGCGGCTGGGCATCTGAACCAGTACATAGACGGCAGTATGAGAGCCGCTCCCCAAGGACAGTCGAGCCAAATGGCCTTGCTGTCCCGGATGCAGCACCTCAAGGCGTAATCAATGTCATTCACGGCATCATCGAACCAACACAAGTTTGTGAGCTGAGGAGGATGATCAAGAAAGCCGAGCACATGAGGGAAGTGCTCTCCCTTCAGCCCGCCGTGAAAAAAGGAAAGACCGAGGTAAAAGACGTCCTAACCTTTTTAAGCAAGGACTTGGAGAGAATTCAAATGCCTCATAATGATGCCTTAGTGGTGACCCTTCGCATCAAAGACTTTGACATCAAAAGAATTCTGATTGACCAGGGGAGTTCGATCGAGATCATGTACTATGACGCGTTCAAACAGATGAAGTTGAAGGACAAAGATTTGGCTCCAGCAACGTCTCCTTTGGTTGGCTTAAACTCTTCACCGGAATGGCTGATCGGAAAGATCATATTGCCGATCAACGCAAGATCGGTCACAAAGCAAGTGGAAATTTGGGTGCTTACGGTCTCATCAACGTACAACTTAATCCTGGGCAGGGGCTGGTTGCACGCCATATAGGCAGTAACGTCAACTTACCACCAGGTCCTGCACTTTCCAACGCCAGCCGGACAAGTAAAAGAGGTTTGGGGAGATCAGGTAATAGAAAAACAGTGCTTTGTCGTAGTAAATGGCAACCGGGCTGCCAAAGGCTTCGTTCAAATGATAGAAGGACCAGAAAGGAAGAAAGTCTTGGAAGACGTGGAAAGAAAGGCCAAGGAGAAATCGGTTGCAGATTTGGTGGAAGTGCGCGTCGACGAGAATGATCTAAATAAGTTCTTTCTTTTGGGATCAACTTTGTCTAGCGTCGAGTGGTTCGATTATGTCAATTTTTTGGATTCCAATATGGAAAGCTTTACGTGGACGCCTTACGATATGCCTGGCGTCAACCCTAGCTTCATTTGCCACCAGTTGAACATCTTTCTGAACCCATGACTGGTCATCCAGAGGACGCGGTGCTCAGCCTTCCACCATGCCAAGATAGTGGCGGAGGAAGTCAAGAACTTGCTGGAAGCAGGGGCAATAGAAGAAGTGCAGTACCCCAGATGGATCTCCAATTCAGTGGTAGTGTCGAAGAAGAATGGTAAATGGCGGGTGCGCGTCGATTATAAGACTGTCAACTGCGCGTGCCCAAATGACAGTTTCCCCCTCCCTAGAATCGACCAGCTGGTGGATCTAACCGCTGGACATCAGAGGTTTAGCTTCCTGGACACATGTCGCAGCTACCAACAGATTGCCATGTACGAGTCAAACCGAGAGATCACTTCGTTCACCACTCCAAGAGGCTTATACTGCTACAAGGTCAGGCCGTTCGGTCTGAAAAATGCAAGTGCAACTTTTCAAAGGATGGTAACCAAAATGTTCGCCCCTCTTCTTGGCCGCACTATGGAGGCTTACATCGATGATATGGTGGTGAAGAGCAGAGACAAGTCTCAACACTTTATCGACCTAGCAGAAATGTTTGCCATACTCAAACATCACAAGCTGCGTCTGAATGCCTCCAAGTGTCCATTCGGAGTTGGAACCGACAAATTTTTAGGTTTTTTGGTCACGAACCGAGGAATCGAAGCCGACCCTTCCCAGATCAAGGTAATACAAGAATTGGAGCGGCCAAACTCCACGAAGGATATGCAACATCTCGCCGGAATGGCGGTCGCGTTGAATCGATTTATTAGTCGGTCTTCAGATCGTTGCAGGCCCTTTCTTCAAAACTTTGAAGGCCAAGTTCTTTTGGGATGACAAGTGCGACCGTGCATTGGCGAATCTAAAAGTATACATTTCTTCAACCCCAATCCTGGT